GGCGGCGGTGGCGGCCACGTCAGTGGGGGGGGGGGGGAAGGTGTCAAACCAGGCGTGCCGCTGGCAGGTGCCCCCACCTCGGGCTGGCTGGCCAGCAGCGCGTCGAGGGTACGCGCGAGCGCCAGCTGCTGCGTGTGGTCCTGCACTCTGAAGTATAGGATGCCGTCGAGCACGGACTGCACCGTGAACTTCTCGGCCTGCGGCGAGGCACAAACGATTAGCGCTCGCGCTGAGGGGTGCGACCCCCCCTTGGCTTTGCCGCACTTGTAAGCGGCGGGCCGGGAAATGTGTCGCAGGTTGGTGTGTTGCACGGCGGCGCGCGGTCGCACGCGCGGGGGTGGATCTTGCCTCTGCGATGTGTAAGGGGTCTCCTCGTCGCCGCGCCGAGTCGCTGATGTGGCGGACCGTGGCCGCCGCGATGTCAAGCACCCGGTCGGCCATGAACGAGCCTTCAGTGTCTGGCTCAATCCGCACGTGCGCGAGCAGGCAGGTGTGAGCTTGCAGGCTGGTGTGGGGCCAAGGAACACTGAGGCATGCCCCACGGGCGCCGCCGCCGCGGCGCGCGGGGCTGCGCTCGCGATGGCGCAATCGCGGCGACCGCGGCGCCGGCCGCGCGGGGCTGGCCCAACTGGAGGCCGCCGCCAGCAGCCTGGGTCGTCGCGAGCCCCGGCCCCGCCCCCTGGCTTCTCACCAATGTACACGGCCTTGCCGCCGAGTCCCCCCAGCAGCGCGGGTATCTGGGCGTTCACGGCCAGCTGCATCCCGAGCTGCGTCTTGCCGACGCCGGGGACGCCGCCTGCGTGCCAGCGGCGCGCGGGGCAGTGGAGGGCTGGTATGTGCGTCGGCCGGAGCAGCAGCGCACTCTGGCCCGGGGCCTGGCGGCTGACGGGCGCGGCGCGAGGCGGTGGGGCGCCCGCGGGGCCACTCTAGGATGCGCAGGGAGCGGTGCGCTGGTGCAGCGACCAGGTCGGCGGGCGGGCAGGCAACAGGGGGTAGGGATGCATGGGAGCTCACAGAACTCTGTGACTGCGCCGGTCGTCACGCCCCCGCCCAGCAGGCCGTCCAATTCAGTGCAGTAGGTCGTGACCCGCGGCCGCGCCTCCTCCTGCGACAGCAGCTGCCGGGCGCTGGCGGCGCCTGCGGGCCGCACGTGGGCCACAAGGTGGCGGCGGTTGGGGGCGGCTGTTGCGCAAGGCTCGGCTGTGGGTGCGCGAGCAGCGGCGCGCGCGGCCGCAGCGCCGCCCTGGACCGTGATTGTATCAGCAGCGAGAGCAGGGCTACGCGCCAAGAACGAGCTGAGGGCTCATGGGGGCCGAGCGCGGGGCCGGTGTGCGGCGACGGTTTTGTGCCCTCGCACCAGACAGGCGCCAGCCGATCTGGCGCACCCCAAGGGCTGAGGTCAGAACATCCTCAGCTTCTGACAAGTGCAGGCCACATGCTGCGCGCGCGTCGGTCAGAGACGTTCTTGTTGCAAAATGGCGGAGGCTGTCGCATTGGGGACATTACAGCACACAAGCGTGCACGGCAGCACGGCAGCGTGCACAGCATGACGACGTATCGTCCTGCTGCCATATGTGCGCTGTAAACCTGTGCCTTATGCTCATGGTCCAATTGCTGCCAGCAGCGCACCTGCTGCAAGGCTCTCAGGTGTGATGTGCTCCAGGTCGCCGGCGGTGGCGTACCCCGCCGTGAGCAATTGCTGCCGTGTGCGTGGTGCCAGGGGAAGGGCCACGACCGGCGCACGAGGCGCATTATCCATGATACAACCCGTGACCACCCTCTCGCACGGTCAGGACCCAGCTAGCATCGATCCCGAGAGAGAAATTGCTGGTCCAAGATCACCTCAAGCTAAGCTTCTGATGTTGTGTAATTCGAAAGGGATGAGCGTGACGTGACAGAGCGACGTCTGCCGCAGACTTTCAATGGGCTTTGCGCTGACTTGGCCGATGCAGTGACTGCTGCAATCCCAAGTGCCGCCAGGCCGATAGGTTGCCTTGTCAGCAATGTTATTCCGCCTATATTAACGAAGAGTTGGCTGGACCATCAAGCGTAGAGACAGCACCCCGCAGCAGCAGACGCCCTCGTCGCCAGGATGCGGGCAGCGGCGTTCAGCAGCGGCTGCCGCAGCAGGACCGCTCTCAATGTGGTCTGCAAGGAGTCCCGTATTGGCAGCAAGCCCATCCCCGTCCCTAAGGGCGTCACGGTGGACCTCAAGGGCAGCCACTTGAAAGTCAAGGTCCGGGGGCGCGCTGCGACGCACATTGTGTGCGTTTGGATGCGTATACTCATGTACCACCCCCCGCAGGGCCCCAAGGGCGAGCTGGAGCTTACTCTGACGCCCTATGTGACCATCGAGCAGGTGTGGCTCTCGCCCAGCCCGCACAGGCTCCCACAGCGTGCGCTGAATGCAGTGAATAGTACTTATTGTTGTTCTTGACACTCGCAGACTGAGGGCAAGCTGCTGCTCAAGCGGGCGGAGGAGACCAAGAAGGCAGCGGCGATGCACGGCCTCTCGCGGTGCGTGCGGTGGCGGCTGGCGGCACGCATGTCCTTCAGCAGCGGCAGGCAATTCGGGGGCACTGTGCAGCTCTCAATGCTAGCCATGAGCAAAGGGCGGTGGCGCGATGCAGGCGCTTGGGACTGCCCCGGAAGGCCGGCGGCCCGTTCTGTGCAGCAGCTGTTTTCGCTCAATCGCAGCAACAGCGAGCAACCATTACCAGCGTCATCATGATAATGAGCAGTATCAACAGCAGCGTAGCAGTGGAGCAGTGGCAGGTATGGTGCCACAAGCTGTGCCGGCGTCATCATGGCAATATGCAGCCCTGGCTGGCAACCCAGGGACGTGGACACCAACCCTCATGCAACCGCCGCCGGCAACCCGCGCCCCGACCCCGCTCCCCCGCCCCGCCCCTCAGGACCCTCGCCAGCAACATCGTGGTGGGCGTGTCGGAGGGCTTTGAGAAGAAGCTGGAGCTGGTGGGCACGGGTTACAGGGCGGCGATCAGCGGCCAGGAGCTGACGCTCAACCTGGGCTACAGCAAGCCCCGCATTCTCACAGTGCCGGACGGCATCAAGGTCACGGTGAGCAGGCACAAGGCCCGCGGCCGGCGGCGCACGGGCGCGGGCGCGGCGGGGGCGGGGCGGGGCGGTCTCGCACGGCGCGGCGGCGGGGCGGGGAGTCGGCGCGTGCGCCCGCCCAAGCGGCCAGGCCTCTGCCCTGGCCTTGCGCGCCCCGCGGCGCGCGCAGCACGGCGGCTCCCCCTCATCTGAGCACCCCGGTCCCCTCTTTCCGCCTTGGCAGGTCGAGAAGACCACCGCCATTTTCATCTCTGGCGCCGACAAGGTGGCCGTGGGCGACTTCTGCGCGCTGGTTCGCCGCCAGCGGCCGCCGGAGCCGTACAAGGGCAAGGGTGTGCGCTACAGCGGCGAGGTCATCAAGCTCAAGGTGGGTGTGCGCGCGTGTGTGTGCGTGGGGTGGGGGGTGTGAGTTCACGCGCGGGGCCCTGCATGGGGGCCCGCATGGGCGCCGGCATGGGGGGGCTGCGAAGGGTGCCTACCTGGGGGGCTTGATGTAAGGGGCCCTTGCATGCGGTGTGTGAAGGAGGGCTGCACAGTCACATGGGCGGCATGTGGCGCCCGCATGTGCCCCTGGGGGTTGCTGGAGGTGTGAGAGGGTTGGCGTGTCTGATGGCGAGCCTTCTGGGCTGTCGAGGTTGTTGGCGATATGCCGGCGTCGACTGCTGCAATGCTTTCAAGTGGCCGCTGCTTCACGTCGGTCCCCAAGTAGCGTCTTCTCACAGCATGCACCCGCGCGCGCCCTGGCTGCTCCCTGTTTCACAGGAGGGCAAGACCGGAAAGAAGGTGAGGGGACAGACGGGGGTCAGGGGGGATGGGAGGTGTGCTGCGTGGCACCAGGAGCAAACGTGTTTGCGCCGGCCATTCCTCTGTCATGTTGTTGGGCGTCTGCGCTCTGCTCCTTTGGCTGACCGTCTGCTTTTGTTCACCCAGTGGGCATTCGCCTCATCTTTGCCTCCGGCCCCGCCTCATCCCTCCCCCTGCAGTAAATTGGAGGGCTCACTCAGGATATCGCGCCTGCCGGTTTTGCTGGCGGCTGCTGCGCTCGACTCTGTTTGGTTGGCACAGGCCGCAAATTTGCGGCCTGCTTCTGTAACGGGTATCGGCATTGCGCGTTGGTGTTTGGGCCTGGGCCCCGCAATTTTCGGGGGGAATGTGCCCAGATGCAAAATTATTCCAAAGCGGTTAAAAAGCGCAGCAGGTTGTTGTTGCCATAACGCAGCAAGAATTGCCTGTGGAGCCAGCACGGTAACCAACACCGGGCGGTTTCGCCCTTGCACTGGATTTCAGCACGCCTTGAGGTCGCTGGCATCAGAACACCGGCTGCATGCACCAAAAGCGCTGACTTGAGGGTGTGTCATCGGTCGAGATTGCACTCCTTCTCGCTTTTACAGATAAGGCGTGGCATGCAACACACGCGGAAGCGGGCTCTACTGGGAGCACGCCGTGACAGACTGAGGGAGCATGATGCCAGGTGCACCAAAGCCATTAGGTGAAGGGAAAGGGGTGTGGCTAAAACCGACTCAGTGTGCCAACAGCAACATCACATACCCCTACTTGAGCAGCACCGCGCATTGATACGGCGGGCCAAACAGCATCAGAAAGTTTGGCACGGCCCAATATGAAACGAAAAAAAGTGGCGCCCCGAGGCAGGGCGCTGCAGCATCTTGCGACTCTGTATCCCCCGAACCCCAGCCAGCGCCCTTGCAGATGCAACGCCTTGACACTGCGGCCAATCATGATCAGAGTGTGGGCATGAACAACGCTCTGTGCTGTCGGCAGGGCCGCGTCACGCATACGTATTCGTGCGCATGTGGTATCGCCGTCCCATGCAGTGTGTGAGTATTAAACGGATCCAGCTGCGTCAGCCCACTCATGGGATCAGCTGCCGCCTCATGGGGCAGTAGTTTGGCCCCAAGCTAGGAATGCTTGGTGGGCTGCCGGCCAGCCACCCTCAAAGCGCAAGGGGCAAGAACGATGGGTCGCTGTGGCGGCCCCACCTCGGCTCTACAACAGAAGCGCCTGTCCTACTCCTCGCAGCGCCGCTGGGGACGGCGCCACCGGGGATGCCTCCAGCGAGAACCGAGCCCTCCGGCGCCTGCGCCCAGGCGAGCGGCGCCATGGGGAGCTGATAGTGGTGGTGGTGCTGGTGCTGCTGGTGCTGCTGGGGGTTGCGATGGTGGCCGTGGTGGCTGTGGTGGTGCGCCGCCCGCGACGGCAGCGCCACTCTTGGGACGTTCGTTCGCGCACTGTCGCTGTGCCGCCGCGCCGGCCCGTCGCCAAACGCGTACCCTCCGCCGCCGCCGAGCAGCTGCAGCTGCGCCAGCTGCAGCTGTGCCAGTGCCGCGCCGCCGCCGCCGCCGCTGCTGCCACCCCCGGCGCCGCCGCCGCCGCTCCCGCCGCTCAGCGCCGACGTCGGCGCGCTGTCCCCCCTGAGCCCCGGTATTGCCACCACCCAGCCGGGCTGCAGCGCCCGGGGGTCGCAGAGCTCGGGGTTGCGCGCCAGCAGGCGCCCCAGCGGCACGCCGTAGGCGCGGCTCAGCGACCGGAGGCTGTCGCCCGGGCGCAGCGCGTGCAGGCGCGGGACGACGGCGGGGATGGGCAGGGCAATGAGGTCGTTGGGCTGCAGGGCCGACTCCCCAGGCAGGTCGGGGTTTGCCGCCAACAGGTCAGCCACTGCGGATTGGGTGTTTGCAGAGAGAGATGCCCGGGTCAGATGCGAACGGGGCCAGCGCGGGGACGGACGCCGCGGGGCCGGAGGGGCGCCGAATCCCGTGGCGCAAGGCGCGCAGACGGCGGCGGCGCGCGAGGGGGGCTGTGCTGAGCGGGACCGTCATCGGCACCCTCCAGGGCAGCGAGCACGTGGCCCAGCAAAGCGGCTGCGCGGCCGGCCGGCACTCCTTCGAGGCGCCCCTCTCGCGATCAACCCCTCCTCCTACTCCCCCACGCTCCATTCCCCCCTTGCTCACCGCTAGTGCCGGTGATGACCGCAATCCTATTAAGCGTCTCCCCTTGGTGCACCAAGTGCATCATGCCGCCAGCCCCGCAGCCGCCGCCCCACCCGCCGCCGCGCTCGCCGCCGCCGCCGCCGCCGCCGCCGCCTTCTGCGCGACGCCGCAGCTCCAGGGCCTTTGACATCTTATCCACCAGCCCCTTGGCGCGCTGGTACTTGTCCCAAAACCCCGCGAGCGCGCCGCCGCCGCCGCCGCCACCATCCAGAGAGCCGCTGTCCTCGTCGTCCCGCGTGTCCTCACCGCCGCAGCTGCTCGCGCTGTCGTCCTCCCAGCCCTTGCCGTCCCCGCAGCTGCTATCGCCGCCGCCGTCGGATCCAACCACACCGCCGCCGCCGGCACACTGGTCGGCAGCCGGCGCAGCGTCCTGCCAGCGGGCGCGGCGGCGCCTCGCCGCCGCCGCGGCCGCCGCCGCACGTGGGCCGGCGTGGAACGCGAGGATCGCGAACCGCTCGCGCCGCCGCCGGCCGCCGTGACGGTACATGGTCGCCAGCAGCGCGGCGGCGAAGTACGCGGCTATATGGGGCGTCTCGAGCGCGGCCGCGGAGGGGGAGGGGTGCATGGACCAGCCCTCCTTGCTTGCCAGCCACCTCGCAGTGGAAAGCGGCATCTGCAGAGGTGAGCGGACGGCGGTTTTCAGGGACAGGGGCCCGGGCCAGTCGAGTGAGGCTGACGCGACGTGGCGACGCGCGCGGCAGCGCCGAGGGAGGGCGTGCGCACGCGAAAAACTGTGCAGAACGCCCGCTGCCCGCCCCGCTCTCGGTGTGGGGTCGGGGCCAGCGACGCGTGCGGCCGCGGTGAACCCGCGTCCCTTTCTTCCTGCCCCCAGGGCCCGCGCCGTGCGTGCTCACCGCCCACAGCCCGTGCACGTTGACCTCTCTGTGGCGCGCCCGCGGGTCCCCGGAGCTCTCGCAGAGGGCGAGCGCGCACAGCGCTGCTGCGGACGCCTCGGGGACCTGCAGAAGACGGGGGTCTGACTCTACGGCTGCAGCGCAGAGGTCAAGAATCTGCGTGGGCAGCAGGCAGGCGGCGGCCTCCCCGGCATCTTTGCCCTGGTGCTGCGGGCGCGGCTGCCGCGGCAGCGGCTGCGGTTGCTGCTTCGCCGGCGCCGCGGCCGGCTGCGGGGCGCCTCGATGCGAGGTCGAGCGGCGCCGCGATGCAGGGTGCGGTTTGCCAGGGCCGTCTGTCGCCGGCCGGCTTATGCCACATCCCATGCGGTGCCGGTTGGATGGTGCTGGGCTCGTGCAGTGGGCGAGCACGCTGAGGGCGACAGGAGAGACGCCTCGCGACGTCGGGCGCCGCGCAAGGCTATGGGGCCCGACCGAGGCACTGAAGACGACGCAAACTCAGTGTGGTTTGTGTTTGCGTGGCAGGTGTGTGGCCCGATACAGGCTGAGAACTTGGAGAGGGTGTGGATCGGTCGGGCCGTCGCGTGTGTGAGTTTTGAATGCAACTCAACGCTGTATAGGCATTCGGGATCCAAAACCGCTTCTATACGGTGATACGCACGTCGCTGTGCTGTGCGCTGTCGCAGCGGCCGGTGTCTGATAACAAGAAGCTGGTCTAACCAAGATGCTTGCGTTGGCGATCCACCTGGATACCTCATGTCACATGCACACCCGGAACTCTTGCTGCTCCCTGTGTTCAGCTGAAGCCGCTCTGGCGCCGATGATGCGGCGGCCGCCGTTGTCCGCGACTGTTGAGCCAAACGTGTATCACGACTGGTCCTCTGCACTCGCCCTTTATACAGCTGGCGCAACAGCCCCGTGCTGTCACTTTTTGTGTGATCCCCCCACCGTGGGCTGAGTGCCTGACATCTGGACTGTATTCGCCCTGAAGGAGACCCCCCCTCCACTGCAACTGCAGTCCCCGTGCATGCCCCATTTCCCACAGCTGAAGCGCCAGGGAAATTTACACTCTACAGCGCGCTGCAACGAGCGCGGACACTCCTCACGCGTACACCGCGCGGGCCCCGTCGGCCCGTCGGCCGCTGGCGCCAACGAAACCGGAGGGGGCGTGGCCTGCGCGCGCGGCCCCGGACCACCGCGCGCGCCTCGGCCCCGTCGATCCTGCCCTCCGCCGCTCAAGGACCCTGCCTTGGAAGGCGCTTCCCCCGTCCGCCCTGCCACCCTAAGGACAGCTTACCCCCCTCCAACACCCCAAAATCTCGCGGCCCCGCAGCCGGGGATCAGCAGAAAGGCGGGCTTCAAGGGTAGAAGGGCACGGACACGCCGTTGGTGGCGGCGGTCACGTGGGTGGGGTCAGCAAGGTGGTCGGCCAGGTTCTGGATGGGGCCCTTGCCGGTGGCGGCGTACTGCGAGAAGAAGCCCAGGGCGGCAACCATCGCCAGGCGGCCGTTCTGGGGGGGAGGGGGGTGTTTGGGGGGGGGAGTCGAGATGTGGGCGTCAGCAGTTGGGGTCTGGTTGGATGCGTGCATCGACACACGGGCAGGCACGGAGCTGCTGCGCAGCAGGCGGTGATGGCTGCGGAGCAGAGGAGCTTGCATTGCCCCCGCCCCTTCCCAGCCGCGGTTCGCGACGGCAGCTCGGACCCAGTCATGGGGTGGCTGTCGGCACCACACCGACAACAGGTGCAGGGGTCATCACCTTGATCTCCTTCTGCTTGTACTCGGCGTACTTGGCGGCGTCCCCGCGGCTCAGGCCGAAGGGGTCAAAGTACTTGCCGCCTGTGAAGGGGTGGGATTGCAAGCGGGCGTCAGCAAGGGCCCGCCAGAACCAAGCAGCAGAAGACCTCTCTGCGCGTGCACAGCGCCATTCCGCGGCGCCTTCATCGATTCGCCATCGCGCGCACGCCTGTCCCATCTCCCAGATGCATGTGATTCACGCGGGTGCCATGCTGGCCGATGGCAGTGATGCTATGGTATGAGTAACTTATCTATCTATCCATGCTGACAGGCTCACAAGATGGGGGGTACCGCGTGCGCCCTGCCTCACGCAGCGGCAGCACGACGACTCCCTTAGCCCCCAGATAGTCTCCTCACCGGGGTAGCCGTTCTCCTTGCCCTTGAAGTCATCGGTGATGCCGAAGAAGCTGCCGTCGCCCTGGCTGCCGGGGTTGAGGAAGTCCGCCAGGCGCTTGGACTCAACCCAGCCGAACAGCAGGAACTGCACGCCCAGGAGGGTCTGGAACGAGAAGGGGCTGTTGGCGATCGACACCTTGCCCGCGTCGTACCACTGGGGCAGGTCCAGGCCCGCCTCGGCGCCGAGCTGCAGGAGTGGGCGCGGGTGGGATGGGCGGGGTGTCCAGGTTGAAAGCGTCGTCGTGCTGGGTGGGCGTGCAGCTGCATAGTTGACAAGAGATTAATGCATCTCAAGACCAGCAGCAGCTGCGGCCGCGGCAGCAGCGGCAATGGCAGCAGCGGCAGCAGCAGAGGCAGCAACGGCGACCGCAGCAACGGCGGCGGCAGCTCTGCGACTCACAGCGGTGAAGAGGATGCCCGCCACGCCGAGCATCGCCCAGCGGCCGTTCTGCAGCTCAGCCTGAACCATCCTGTTGGACCAACCAGGGACAACGGGGGCCACATGGTTGGCTCCACACCCCATGCGAGAAGGTTGGCCGAATCACCATTTGGCTGCGCCACGCTTTGTCAGTGCGATCGCCACATTCTGGCCATGCCAGGACAGCACTTGCTGCAGGCGCCACCATGTGGACACGCCGCTGCTTGCCCCCCGCTTGCCCCCTGCCGCCCCTCGTCACCCTCGCCCAATCAGTCGGCCCCCTTTTGAGCCCCCCCCCTAAGCCCCATCCCTCCAGACCCCTGATCTAGACCCAGCTGACGCACCAGCGGCGAGTGAGGGGGTCCTCGCTCAGCTTGAGGGGGTCGAAGCCATAGTCACCCGCCAGGCTGCAGGGTTCACGGGAGCGGATCGTCAGGCGGACAGCAAAGGGGGCCAAAGTGAGCGTGATGTAGCTGATGAAGATGAACGCGCATGCGAGGGTGTGCGCGAGAGACGCTGTCGGCGGCATGGGCTCCGGCGCAGACCAGAGGGGCCATGCGGCGCATGCGCGCGCATTGAGCCGCTGCCCGCTGGTTGCACTCGCCTGCCGTCCAGGTACTCAGGCGCCGGGTTCCCGGGGAACCACAGAGGACGGTTGGCAGCGGCAGCAGCGCGGACGACGCGCACGGCCTGCGATGGGGTAGCGTGGTGAGGGGCACTCGCTGTTGTTCCCTTGCCCTGGGAGCACTGCCGATGCTCACACGCTCTCTGCCCCCTGCGTCAGGCAGATCTACTGCCCAGGCAGCGTTAGCTCTGTCGCGTGCAGAAAAATAATCTCGTGCAGCTGGCGATGGGCCATTGCCCTTGCAGCCAGGTCGGGGCCCTGCAATCCAGATCCGCCGACCGAGCTGCCCACGCCAGGGCGCCGCGTCCGATTGGGAACGCTGGAGACGAGGCAAAATTGCTATCAGGAGTCGCACCTTCGCCGTAGAGCCGCTGCGGAGGGCCGCGGCCCGCTGGGCACCCCTGTTGGCGAGCTGCATGATGCTGCTGTGAGTGCTGCAGCTGTGGAGATGATGAGGAGAAGTGCAGGACTGATGCGGGAGTGTGCTGAAACGCAACAGTGAAGCAGGCTTGGTCGACGAGCGGAAGCCAAATCTGATGAACCTCAAAACCTCGGGGTCCGAGCAGCCGTGACCGGAGACCCAAGCACCGTGTCTGAACCACTTGATTAGATTTTATGGCATCACACGCTTGAGCCACCACCAGTGTGGTCAACAGCCCGTCAAACAACAGAAACCCTCAGCACTCGTGCGTGCGGGCAAACCATTCATGCTGCGCCCTTTCTTTCAGCTGAGACATAATGTAAAGATAGTTATAACCTGTTTGAACGGCACTCGCATACCAAACCCTCCTTGCCTCTTGCGAGCATTTTACAGGTCAACACGTTTGACCTTGGTGCACCACAGCCGCGTAGCGCAGAGGGCTGGAGGCGCGTGCCCAATCATGGCTGCGGAGATGACCCAATTGGCAGTCATCCTGTCATTGTATGGGGTGGGCATGGCGCTCATGCCTCAAGGCTCACGACGCAACAGGCCTGCGCTCCCAACAAACGGGGTGCCAGATGTGCAGGCGCCACGCTGTGCTTTGATGGCTGTTCAGGAAGCTGAGCATGCGACATTAAGATCCACTGCCGTATGGGGCAGCTCCTGAATGTGAAACGACAGCTGCCAAAGCTCTTGATCCTGGCAAGCGGGACCTGAGACCACCTCGTGACCTGAGATGCCACCAGGACGCAACATGAACGACTGGCAACATAGCTATCAGGCAGTCAGCTGCTGATGAAAGCCAAATCCTCGTGATTTGCAAGAGCTCTGGTGTTCCAGGGGAGCAGGCTGCGGATTGCCCTGCACGACGGCGGTGTGGGCCGGGGTGACGCCCAGTGACCCTCAAGAGACTGGACATGCAGTATGAATGGTTCAAGAGCTCCTGCACATGAAATCCGCTTGACTCATTAGTTGTTTGTCGACATCGAAAAACACCTCGCCAATGGTGGAACGCAAGGACGACTGGATCACAGCGGTGGAGGCTGCTTGTCGCTCGCACCTGGACGCTGTGAGAAAAATTCTGTATCTGCATATTGCCATTGCGCGCTGTCGTGATCTGGCACCGTGATCCCTGTGCAGGACGCCTACAAAAGAGTCAAGGCGGAAATGCTTTTGAAGAAGCCTGTCAAGAGCACCCCCTTCCGCCAGGCAGCAGACCAAGTGGTGGGTACTCTTGACGCAACATGGCGGGTGGTGCACCTGTCAACTGCAATGCCCCACCGCGCTGCAAGGGGGGACCTCGCCGCACGCACCACCCCTGAGCGCCGCCGATCCTCCCCCCCCCTCCCGCCCCTCCCCGCATCCACATCCCTGAGAGCGCAGCAAGCCAGCATCGTCGCGTTGCGATCGTTTATTGACGAGAACAAGCGCGACTACGTAGCGGCGGCGGGGCGGTTCACTGCAGAGCAGAAGGACCGAATTGAAGAGGAGGTGCTGCAGGTGGGCCAGCGAACCGCAGGCTGGACTGTGGGGTCAGGCTGTAGCTGGCGTGGGACAGGTGGCGGCTGCGGGGCCGCAGACGCGCGCCCCGGCACGCCCCGCAGTTGCCCTTGCCTGGGTGCCCTGCTGCCGTGCACACGGGCTGCCCTGCTGCCGCGTGCACCCGACACGCCGCAGGTGGTGTCGAGCTGTCGCGCGCGGGTGGAGCAGCTCACGAACAGCATCGTGGCGGCGCAGCAGCAGCGGGCGCCGAGCGGAAGGCCGGTGGTGAACGAGCAGACAGTCGCGCACCTTCACGGGGCAGTAAGTGGGACGCGTGCAGGGACTGCTGCCGGCTGCCTTGGGCCACTCAGGGAGCCTGATGGTCGCTTTTAAAGGCTGCGGTGTTTCGCGCTGGCCTAGGAATAGCTGACAAAGCTTGTCCGTTCCAGCGATCTTTGGCATCGCCCCGGCCGTTTGCCATGTGCGCGCATACACACACGCACACACGCACACACACACGCTGTCTCTCCTTCTGTCCCTCTCAGATAGACACGCACGCACACACATACACACACACACACAACCACACCACCGTCACTGGGCCTCACACTAATAAACAGGTGCTGGTGCTGGTGGAGCAGCTGCACGTCGCGACCGCGGCCTTCGACCGCTGCCGGGCGGTGCGCAACGCGCAGCGGCTGGCTGAGGACATGCGGATGCAGCAGCGGCGGGCAACCAATTACAAAGCAGTGCGTTCCGCCGTGTGTGTTCGCGCGCGAGGTGGCTGGTTGTTGTGCATGTGCATGCATGCACGTGTGCTTGCTTGCTGCGCCTGTGCTTGCTTATGACCGTGTGCATTTGCGTGCGTGGGTGTGTGTGTGTGTCTTCGAGTGTGTGTGGTGGGTGGGGATGAGGAGATACTGCTCAAGGGCAGGGGAGTACGAAAGGGTTCAGGAGCCTGAGGTGCAGATGGCGTGTGCTGGTTGCTACCAGGCAATGTGACGTCAGCAGCAGGGGGCGCGGCACCCGTGGGAACGCGATGCTTCTGCCTTGGGGCCGTTGCACACCAGGGTGATCTTCAGTGAACGATCCCACGCCAACCCCCTCATGCGGCTGCGCCTGCAGACAACGAGCGCCCAGCATGCAAGTAGCAACAGCACCGGCATCGGCCTGCCCGACGGCGGGGAGCAGCGGCAGGGGGCCGTGGAGTCTGGGGGCGGGCAGCTGCAGCAAACGATGCACGACCAGGAGACACAGCGTTTGCTGGTGGGTCCGGCGCCTAGCGGCCGCCCGCCTGGCAATTTTGCATTGCGCAGCGTCTGCGCGAGCAAGCCTACTGGTGCCTTTGTACCTATGCCTCTGCTGAAATGACTGCTGTGAGGGCAGCATCATGTTCTGGACTCAACTCCAAACGTAGTCTAGTGCATGCAATGAGAAGGGACTCAGCAAGATTGCGGGAACGCTCATCCATTCATCCCCCAGTCTGCAAAACGCCCCAACTTTCCAACGCAATCGCATCCAGGAGGACCTCATGCGCAGCACGAATCAAGTGGAGCGCGTCGAGCGCACGGTGCGCGACATAACCACCATGCAGCAGATGATAAGCACCGCGGTGATGCAGCAGGCGGAGCAGATAGAGCAGCTGTACGATGTGGCGGTTGAGGCCACGGCGCACGTGCGGCGGGGGAACGAGGAGCTGCGCAAGACGATCGCGGTCAACAGCAGCAGCACGCTGTATATAGTGGTGCTGCTGCTGACTGCGAGCGCGCTGCTGCTGCTGTTTGACTGGATCAACAGCTGATGTAAAAAGCGGCACCATCCAGGCATGCCGCAGGAGCGCCGCATCGGCGGATGAGCATGGAACGCGCTGGGTTGGGTGTGCATCGTACACAGGAGTCACTTGGGGCCTGTCGCTGCTGGCTCGCCCGCATGTTGCATGTTTGACTCACCAGTGACATGGGTTTGCCTGGCGCGTTGGCCAGGATTAGCCGTGACCAACTACGGCGCAATGATGGGCAGCAGAAGAATATCAGTTTTGATTTGCCTTGACAGGCGTCCAGCCTGTCACTGTGATCTGTACGATCTGTAGCCCCGAACATCGAAGTGAGGTTGTTGCGGCAGTGTGCTCCATCAACACTTGTGCCAACGCGACGTTATTGGGCTTGCAGCAGCCCAAATGATCCCGCTGCAGGTCCTAGGCTTCCTGCCGGGCGCGCAGCAGCTGTCTTCACGAGTGCTGCCAGTCGCATTACGTGCAGTGTTGGCCGTTGTTGAAGGAGGATGCGGCTGCGGAGTGTACAGCGCCGGCACGCGGGCAAGCAGCAGCAGCTTCAGCAGCGTTGCGCCACAGCGCTCAAGAGGCCGTCGACGAAACCAGCAGCAGCAGCAGGAGCAGCAGCAGCTTAGCACGTCCCAGCCGTGGGGACGGATACCTGACGAGGACCTGCCGGTGCAGTACTCGCTGCGGCCGTCTGTGATGTCGCCCCTGCACTCCGTCTATCGGTGCGGACCCCCCAGCGCCCGCACCGCAGTCACGCCGCCCGAACGCATCGTCAACCCCCGGCGCCGCAGCGTCGCTTCCACGAGACCCCCTCTCCGCCGCGCCCTGCCAGCTCCCACCCCTGCTATTGCCCTGTTAGGGCAGGTTGTCACCGCCTCGGCGACCCCCCACCCCCACCCACCGGACCTCGCCTGCCCCTCCCGTGAACCCAGGAAGCATCAGGAGCTGCAGCGGTGGGCGGATTTCGCAGCCCTGGGAGCGGCGGCCCAGATCAAGCTGGGAGAGGAAATCACAGCAGCGACTGATGCAGAGGTGGGCTTGTCAGAAAGGGGGGGGGGTGTGTGTGTGCGCGTTGGCCCCCCCATCGGATTGAGACAGGGCGTCTGCGTGCGCGTGGGCGGCCGCCGGGGCGCGCGCCAGCCGCGGGCCGGCCAGTTTGTGGCTCCGGAGTGGCTCGAGAGGACGCGCGTGCCAGTGCTGACGCCGCAAACAGCAACACCGGGTACATGCGCGGCCGCATATACATCTACAACATCACCTGCGCAAGCACCGCAACCAGCACCAACAGCACTCGCCCCTCGTCCCTTTCAGGTCCCCTCGGAGCTGGCCAGGCGCCGCAAGGCGCTGGGCGCGCTCACCAACGCGTACGCCGCCGCGCTGAGCGAGGGCCCGCTGACGCCGCCGGCCAGGCCCGACCAGGGGCAGGGCTACACGCTGATGCTTGAGCAGCGGCTGGCGGATGAGCAGCCCGACTTTATCGAGTTCTCGCGCGTCCTGAGCGGTGGGGCGGCCGCTCGATCCCCCGTGGTTGCGTGTGGTTTTGGGGGCACGATGTCGAGACCGCCGTTCGGACGGCTGTCTGGGGTGCCTGTTTGAATGGGTTGTTGGTAGATTGCTTTGCCTGGGTGTGATGCAAGGAACTATTATTATGAGGGGGGGGTCTTGAGGGATGAAATGCGGTGACGCATATGATACTATTTGGGGGGGTCCTGTTGGGTGTGGGGCAGGGCAGCGAACGGGTGGGCAATGCGGGGGGCCGGGGCTCATCTTGGCGCCCTCACAAGGCGCGCAGGATGGAGTGCCAATGCACCCTCTGCAAGGGTCACATGCACGTGAACATGCACACTCTCCCCCCCCCCACACACACACACACACCACACCACCGCCACGCTCACACCTCATGCGTTGCGCACACAAGCTATGTCCTCCCAACCAACCGGCCCGCCGCGGCCCCGCCTAACCCGCAGGCGAGCGCGACGTGTGGGACTACTGGTTTGAAGACTTTGCTCCCCGCTACGACGGCCTGCCCGGCCTCGCCCCCCTGGTCAAAGCCTTCAGCCGGCCCAGCATTGCGGAGGTGCGGGCTCACGCCGCGCCGCCGCCCCTGCTCACGGTCGCGCGGACGTGCTCTCTGGGGACTGCGGGGCGTGGGCGCTTGGGGGCTGCGGTGGTGGAGAGCAGCGTGGCGCGGCAAGGGCTGCGGGCTGCAAGCGTGCCGCCTATGCGGGCATGCCGTTGAGGCGCGAGACCCTGATGAGGCCACAGCAGCCCTCTCGCCAAACACACACACACGCGCGCGCGCGCGCCGCCCCCCCCC